ATTATTACAGTCAGTATGCTGTCCAATAGAACACCAGAACTTATTCCTAACTGACACTTCGTATCAGTTGAACAACATCTCTCCTTTCCCTGTCCACACTCTCACCCACTGCCAGCCTTTGGTAACCACCTTTTTACTCTCTCTTTCTATGAGTTTGACTTTTTAAGATTCCACATAAAAGTAGGGTATTTGTCAAGCCATGCCTGGCTTATTTCTTTTTTTTTCTTTTTTTGAGACTGAGTCTTGCTCTATCGCCCAGGCTGGAGTGCAGTGGCACAATCTCGGCTCACTGCAACCTCTGCCTCCTGGGTTCAAGTGATGCTCCTGCTTCAGCCTCCCAAATAGCTGGGATTACAGGCGCCTGCCACCACGCCTGGTTAATTTTTGTATTTTTAGTAGAGATGGGATTTCACCAGCTTGGCCAGGCTGGTCTCGAACTCCTGACGTCAAGTGATCTGTCCGCCTCAGCCTCCCAAAATGCTGGGATTACAGGTGTGAGCCACCATGCCCGACTGCTTATTTCACTTAACATAATGCCCTCTAGGTTCATTCATATTGTCCCAAATGACAGATTTTTTTTTTTAATGCTGAAGAGTAGTCCATTGTGTGAGTGTATATATATAAATATATATATAACATATACACACACACACACACACACATACACAACATTGAAAAAAATCCATTCATTTGTTGATGAACACTTAGGTTGTTTCCATATCTTGGCTACTGTGAATAATGCTGCAATGAGCATGGGAGTGCAGACATCTCTTTAACATATGATTTCAATTCTTTTGCATATACCCAGAAGTAAAATTGCTAGATCATATGGTAAATCTATTTTTATTTTTTTAAAACTTCATACTGTTTTTCAAAATAGCTGCACTTAATTGTAATACCACCAACAGTGTATAAGAATTCCTTCTCCACGTACTTGCTAATACTTATCTTTCATATTTTTGATAATAGCTGATCTAACAGTCGTGAGGTGATATCCCATTGTAGTTTTAATATGCATTTCTCTGATAATTAGAAATGTTGAGCATTTTAGTAAATGTATGTGTTGGCCATTGTATGTCTTCTCCTGAGAAATGTCTATTGAAATTCTTTGCCAGTTTTTTCACTGGGTTATTTGTTTTCTTGTTATTGAGTAGTTTGAGTTTCTTGTATATTTTAGATATTAGCCTCTTATCCAATGTATGATTTACAAATACTTTTCCCCAGTTTGTGGGTTGTTTCTTTACTCTGTTGAGATTTTCTTTTGTTGTGCAGAGCTTTTCAGTTTGATGCAATCCCATCTGTCTATTTTTGCTTTTATTGCCTGTGTTTTTGGGATCATAGCCAACAAATCATTCCCCAGATCAATGTTGTGTTTCCCTAGGTTTTCTTCTAGTAGTTTTAGAGTTTCAGGTCCTATGTTTAAATCTTTAATCCATTTTGAGTTGATTCTTCTATAAGGGATAAGGTAATGGTCCATTTTGATTCTTCTTCATGTGGATATCCAGTTTTCACAGTATGATTTATTGAAGAGATGTCCTTTCCCCATTGTGTGTGCTTGGTATCTTCGTCAAAAATCAACTGATTGTAGATGTATAGGTTTATTCCTGAGTTCTCTGTCCCATTCTGTTGGTCTATGTGTCTGTTTGTATGCCAGTACCATGTTGTTTTGATTACTGTAATTTTGTAATATATTTTGAAATCTGGTAGTGTGATGCCTCTGGCTTTGACTTTGTTCTTTCTGGTCAAGATTGCTTTGGCTATTTGGGGTCTTTGTGACTTCATACAAATTTTAGAATTTTTAAAAATTTCTGTGAAGAATGACATTAGAATTTTGGTAGGGATTGCAATGACTCTGTAGATTGCTTTGGGTAATATGAATGTTTACAAAATGTAAATTATTCCACTCCATGACACACAATATCTTTCCATTTATTTGTATAATTTTCAATTTATTTCATCAATGTTTTATAGTTTTTTGGTATACAGATCTTCCACTTCTTTGGTTAAATTACTCCTAAGTATTTTATTTTATTTTATTTTTGATACTAATGTAAATGGGATTGTTTTCCTAGTTTCTTTTTCAGTTAGTTTATGGTTTGTCTATAGGAATGCTATTGATTTTTGTAGGTTAATTTTGTATCCTGCAACTTTACTGAGTTAGTTTATGAGTTTTATTAATTTTTTTGGTCAAGTCTTTAGGATTTTCCATCTATAAGATCATGTCATCAGCAAAAAGAGATAATTTTACTTCTTTCCAATTTGGATGCCTTTTACTTCTTTCTCTTGCCTAATTGCTCTGGCTAGGACTTCCCGTACTATGTTGCATAGGAGTGGTGAGAGTGGATATCCTTGCCCTGTTTCTGATCTTAGAGAAAAGCCTTCAACTTTCACAATTGATTGTGACATTAGCTATGGGTTTGCTGTGTATGGCCTTTATTGTGTTGAGGAACATTCTTTCTACTCTGAATTTGTTGAGCGTTTTCATTATGAAAGGATGTTTAATTCTGTCAAGCCCTTTTCTGCATCTCTTATGATGATCATACGTTTTTTGTCCTTCATTCTGTGGGCATTTTTGTTTATTGATGTTTTCAATTGAATGTGTTTTATAATGTCAAGTACATCAAATTTAGAACTGAAAGAAAATTTTTACAGTATCTTATGCTTGGACAAGGTACAAGAAACAGGGCATATGTTATCACAGTTTAGTCTCCTTGACTTTAAAATTCTTCTGTGTTAGGAATATGAGATCCTTCTTTGTTATGTTATATTTAATATTGAGTGCAAAGGCATTAACGCATGATTGTTTTTAAAATTTTTATCTGTTTAAAAACTTGCTTTGTTTTTATTCTCACTATTTTCTGTTTTCTGAATTTAGCTTAAGAAAAACACAGAGCAATCTTTTCAAATTTATTTTTTCCTTTGTATACATTTAAAAGGGAGTTTTAAAAGGGTTGGATAGCTTGGTCATAAAGAGGAGATTTTCTTTACCATTACAATCCAAACACAAGCTGTTGTCCACATGGCATGGAATAATTAGAGAACTCAATAATTTTCTTTCTCTTTACATTTCTACTACTTAAACAAAATAATAGAAACTGATTTATTTCTTCCTTTATCTGGTGATGGAAACCACTCTATGGAAAACCTGGGAATGGTCAGCACTATGTTTTCCACTATGTGGAAGTAACAGGAAATGAAACTGACTTATATGAAGAAGAAGAGACAAGAGATGGAGAAGATTACTGGTGATTTTAGGGTTCCCGAAGACCATCTACATGTGTCCTATTCCTGTTGCTTGACTGTTGACATTTTTCTGATTCCAGGAAATAAAAATTCTCCTTTTTGGCAAAGCTATTATTTTGGGTGGGATTCTGTAAGGTGCAAGTGGCAAAAATGTAGCTACAATTAGCTTAAGTAAAAAGAGGGAATTAAGGAGAGATCCTTAGGTAACTCACAGAATTAAATGAATAGTTGATCAACTGAGCTTTAACAAGGCAGAAGCAGGCACTTTAGAAGGGACTCAGAACCTAGGGCCAAGACTTAGGTGCTGCTGCAGCACACTTCCCTCATGTGGCCTTTGCTACTTTTCTTTCTGGACACTGTGCCCTCTGCAGAGGAATACTTTGATTACCTTATGTGATTCCACCAGTACTTTCTTTTATTTATCCTGTAACCCTCATCTACTCATTGGCATTTTTATGTGCATTGCCACAGAAGGAGATGTTACAGCACACTGTGTTTTGAATCTCAAAAGCACAGACTAGGATTGAATTCAGGCTCTCAAGATTAAGAGAGCTATCCCACGTTAGCAGGAAAAGGAAGGCTAAAAGGAAAAAAAAGACAGCTGAGTTGGTACTGTGTCCGGAATTGGTGGATTCTTGGTCTCGCTGACTTCAAGAATGAAGCTGCAGACCCTCGTGGTGAGTGTTACAGTTCTTAAAGGTGGTGTGTCCAGAGTTTGTTCCTTCAGATGTTCAGATGTGTCTGGAGTTGCTTCCTTCTGATGGGTTCGTGGTCTCACTGACTTCAGGAGTGAAGCTGCAGACCTTCACGGTGAGTGTTACAGCTCTTAAAGGTGGCACGTCTGGAGTTGTTCGTTCCTTCTGGTGGGTTCATGGTCTCGCTGGCCTCAGGAGTGAAGCTGCAGACCTTCCCGGTGAGTGTTACAGTTCATAAAGGTGGCACATACGGGGTTATTCATTCCTCCCAGTGGGTTCGTGGTCTTGCTGGCTTCAGGAGTGAAGCTGCACACTTTTGCGCTGTTACAGCTCATAAAGGCAGCGCAGACCCAGATAATGAGCAGCAGCAAGATTTACTGCAAAGAGGGAACCAACAATGCATGGAAGGGGACCGGAGAGGGTTGCTGCTGCCGGCTTGGGTGGCCTGCTTTTATTCCCTTATTTGGCCTCACCCACATCCTGCTGATTGGTGCATTTTGACAAAGTGCTGAGTGGTGCATTTACAAATCTTTGGCTAGACACAGAGTACTGATTGGTGCGTTTACAATCCTTTAGCTGGACACAAAAGTTCTCCAAGTCCCCTACCTGATTAGCTAAACACAGAGTGTTGATTGGTGTGTTTACAAACCTTTAGCTAGACACAGAGCACTGATTGGTGCATTTACAATCCTTTAGCTAGACAGAAAAGTTCTCCAAGTCCCCATCCAACCCAGAAGCCCAGCCAGCTTCACCTCTCAGTACCACTGGGAAAGGGGCTCTGCACCTAGTAGATGATACTATCACTAGGCAACACAGCAGGCATTTGTGTTTATTGTTTTAAATTGAATTTGCTTTATAATGTCAAGTACAGCCAATCTATAATTTAAACAAAAACTTTGAAGTACTCTGTGAAATTCATATCCCAGAACTGAACCCTCTGGGGGAGGAGTAATAGACACTCCCACTGCACCCAACCCTGGGTAACAGAGTGAGACCCTGTCTCACAAAAAACAAAACAAAACAAGACACTTATTTTAGAATTGTTTTAGATCTGAAGAAAAATGGCAAAGATAGTACAGAAAGTTCCCGTGTACTGTACACCCAGTTTCCCCTATTATTAACAATCTTACATTCTTTCTGTCACATTTCTGACAAATAGTAACATCTGCTTAAATACTTCCAGTGACTGGCAACCCAGTATGTCCTAAAGAGTCCCACTGTCAGATGATTTTAGAGCAGTGTGACTTGAGATGTGGTTCTAGGACCAGCAGCATCTGCACAACCTGGAATCCAGTTAGAAATGAAGAGTCTCAGACCCCAATCCAGACTTGAATCAGAATCTACATTCAACAGGATCTCCAGGTAATTTATGTGCACATCCAAATTTGAAAAGTATTGCTCTAGTGTTCATATATATGTACACACACACACACACGCACATATATATATATTTTTCCCAAAAAATGGCAACCAAGGTCTTGCAATCACATTGCCCCATTCATTAATTCATCTGTGTATTCACAAAACATTTCTTAAGAGCATATATGCTAAGCACTGATTTAACTTGAAACTTTTTTAAAAGTAAGATCTTATTCCTACCCTAAAAAATTTCACATTCCAATTCTGCCATGTAAGAGGTAGTTGAATGAACAGGATAATTTTTGTTCAGAAAAGACAGGACTAAGTTTGAAGAGCTGTCCCTGAGATACTAGCAAATGTGGGAAAATGCCACCATCTGTAGAAAACTATCACAACAGCTGAGACAATCACAGAGTAGAAAGAGCTACTCGTCTTTATTCCAGATAGAGCTAGGGGTGGAGAGAAACGCCCTCTGCAACTCGGGTTAGTGTATTAGTCTGCTCTCTCATTGCCGTAAAGAAATACCTGAGACTAGGTAATTTATAGAAAAAAGAGGTTAAATTGGTTCATGGTTCTGCAGACTGTACAGGAAGCATAGTGACTTCTGCTTCTGGGGGGGCCTCGGGAAGTTTCTAATCATGGCAGAAGGCAAATGAGGAGCACTCTGTTTCACATGGTGGGAGCAGGAACAAGAGAGAGAAGGGGGAGATGCTACACACTTTTAAACCAGTAGGTGTTGTGAAAACTCACTCATTACACCAAGGACAGCAAAGTGCCATGAGAGATTTGCCCCCATGACCCAAACACCTCCCACACACTACCACAAGAACAGCACCAAGGGGATGGTGCTAAACCATTCAATAGAAACTGCCCCCATGATCCAATCACTTCCCTCCAGGCCCAACCTCCAACATTGGGGATTACAACTAGACATGAGATTTGGGCGGAGACACAAATCTAAACCCTATCAGGTAGCATGGGGCAGTATGTAGGAATAGCCGTTGTGATGAAGGTCCTCAGATCTGAAGCAGCTTCCTGGAGTTCCAACTTGCCTCAGCACGGTGTAGGAGCAGTAGACTAATTCCTGAGCCTAGCATAGTCATGTTGCTGGGCCTTCACCAAGGTGCCCAGAGCCCAGAGTGGTGCTGGAGAACACTTTTCAATGCACTTCAGCAGGGCACTGGGGGCCAGGAAGGAGAGTCATTGATCCTGAAGTGACCTTTGGCATGGATCCATGTGCATCAACCCTTGAAAAACAGACAGGATAAGAAGGGAGATGCCAAATTCAACAAATGACCAAATATCAGAATCTTTGCTTATTCTGGCCCTGCCTTCCTTCTGTCCCATGTCCCTTGCTTAAAATTAGATGTGAACTGAAGGAAAAGAAGTAGGAGCCTGAATTCATTAAGGTTGAGTTTCTATCATCTAGTAAAACAGGATATCATTGAAGAAATTAAGTTCAGTTGCATGAAAAATATTAAGCCACACTTTCTGATCATTTGCTTATGCGACCTGAAATTTAAATTTTGTCTTCTACTTCAGACTGTGTTCTTATATGTGGCAGAGAACCTGGCTCCTAGCAGCTGCAGCTTGCAACTGCATATATTCACCATCTGGAAGGAAAAAGCTCTTCACCTCCTTGACTCTTACAGCATGCTGCCCTCATCCAAGCTCCTGTTTGAAAAGCTTCAGAGAACAATCTTGACTGGCCTTTCTCTAATCGTGTTCTCACCCTATTTACCAATTACAGAGTTAGGAATGTGGGATACTATGATGGGTCCAGCTTGGAGCACTTGCAGTGTGGCCTCTGAAGCCAGCATGCTGTAACTGGTAGCTCCGCCTAGATCCATGTGCTTGGTGGCAGGAAAGGAACAGTTTCTCCGCCAAAAGGGAATAAATACTTTGATCAGAGGTAGGGGAGGCGGGGAGTAGTCTGGTAAGAACACTGAATTGCATTATCTACCTTGTGTGCCTATACTTATAAAGGTTTCCTTTATGTCACATTGATATGATAAAAGCAAGAAACTAAAATTATGAACAAGATACTGACTAGGTATTTTATGACTCATTAGTTCAGAATTAGAACCTGGGCTCTGGAAAGAAAATAACACAGCCATTTCATTATAAATTTGTAAACTTTGCAGCAGTTTAACCATGAGAGTTGGCATATAGGTCAGGGAATAGGCCTGGTGGGTTTTGCTCTCAAATCCCATTATACTCCTGCAGAGAATAAAGTGCTCTGTGCTTTGTGAAAATTGGTTTGTAGTATGTGTGTACCAATTATCAGGATTGTCAGAAATGTTGGACACTTCCTTTGAGGTTCATAGGGACTTAAATCTGAAATACTTCTCTACAAAAACTTTACTTAGCTGCATAATTCTGAAATAGTTTTATTCTGGCCAACTGCTTATTTATAACAGCCTTTTCAGGTAATATTCTAGGAGTTATTTCCCAAGATTTATTCTCTTTACTTTATTTCTCATGATATTCTTTCAGGTACAAGGAAATAATAATTGATTTGGCTTATGTATACAATTTGGAGAATTTTGTAGTTTTTCTTACACTGTGTTGCTCATTTATGAGAAATAAGCAAATAGATAAAAAAATACGGATACTGCATGAAGTACTAAAAAAATGTAAAAAATTTCCTTGGGGAAGTCATATTTTAGTCCATGTTCTGTTGTTAATTTTAATCTCGGGGTTAAGTAATTTTTGCTCTTGGTATGAAATTATTAACAATCCAATTGACTTGCCTTTCAACTCTAAACAGCTTCTTGATCACGGTGTAAATAGCTGCTATGAATTTCACTGCTGTTACGTAGCTTTTCAGACAGTCAAGGAAATATGATTCTGCCATATTCATGCCAGCAGATTTCAAAGGGCAAGGAAAGGTGTTTCAACAGATTAGGAGTCTAAATGAGTTACAGGTTGAGCAACTGGCCAGTGAAGAGCCACCAACAGTAACCGGGCAGCCCCAGGCCTGCAGGAGAATCTGAAAGGTTCTAGTTCCCAGGAAGAGCTTCCAAAGAACACATGGTCTTACATAGATATTTTCGAATAACCCTTTTCCTCCCAATTATTTTAGCAAACATATGATTGTTGTAGATAAATTAGAAAAGTAAATATAAACAGGAAAATAAATGTATCCATTATCCCATAATCTGAAGATAGTCTTCGATAACATTTTGGTGTATAGCTCATCATTTTTTCTTATGCATATATGTTTTAAAATCCATTGAGATTATGCTGAACATATAATTCCTATAATGCATGTTCTATGGTAATTTAGAATAAAAATCCCTTTGGTATGTGAATTTAAAACAATATTATAGGCATATAATCATTGTGAAGTATCTATTCATCAATCACTTTTTTGTTCTTTTTAGTTATACAAATGGAAAACAGTAAAATTTGCCTTTTACACTTGAGTTCAATATACATTATTTGAGCAATTTGTACATCTAAGATACTGTCATAAATACTTTAGGAAATAATGAAACAAACAACTTTAATAAGACATAACATTTGCCCTCAGGGCATTTATATAGGGATATGCATAAGCAGTCGTTAGATGAATCAGATAATGTTTCATGATAAAATGGAAACCAAATAAATTTATAAATGATCATAGACCATAGATAGCTTAGTCCCAATTTGGGAGATTACAAGGAATATTTTGTTGGATCTTGACATATTGGCTAGGATCTCAGCCAGCAGATAATGGTGGTGGGTGATGGTTGAGGGAGGGATGTTGTGGAATGAAGGAATAACATTCAGGATGACATCGCATGAACAAAATCAGAAAGTGAAAATAAATGCAAAGATGCTTTTAAGTAAATGTGAGTTCTTTCCTGAAGTGGAAGAAAACACTGGTAAATTAAGCTGACAATATATTGAGAAAGAATTTCAGTGCCAGACTTAGTTTAAACTTTATCCTGTAGGCGGTGCAGAGACACAGATGCTGTTGAGCAAGTCCGTAAAATGGTCAAGGCTTTACCTTAAGAATATTTTATGAAACCTTAAATTCCTAGAAGGAATGACAAAGCCATTTTTTTGTGTGTAGGTAAGTGTTCATATAATTGTTCTCTAAACATCTCATATTTATTTTTTAATATAAATTATAGATACAGTTTCATTTTTACTTTTGTACCCCAAGAATACCTTCTTAGAACTTCTTAGAAAAACATAAGGATAGCCTGAAGTATTTTAATGTCTAAGCCTTCTTGTTATTAGTATTTGTTTTTCTCAATTTGTGGCTTGACAATAGAGTGTTTATTTGTTCTGTATGTATTTGTTCCTCTTGTCTTTCTTTCATAAAATGCCCCTTTCATTCAAAAAGCATTTATGGAGCAACTATATTAGTAAAATATAGTATTGTATAATGAGCACTATAAAAACTGTGTGTCTTGGAGAATTTGGGTTAAATTATCTGGCTGGGCCTGGAGATAGCACTTTAGTAAGAGATATTTTGAATATCATGAAATTTAAAGAAAAAATTGCTAGCACTTAAGATAGTCAACTTCGTTAGTTGATATTAATTATCCTGTTAATTAAGGATTTTGAAACTCAGATTTTCCTTATTTGTTCTTCAGTTTCCTTTCTAAAATTTTAAAGTACTTTTCTTTTATTGCTTATTAACTATTTGGTTTAACTTTAAGTTGCTAAAACTTTTTGAGGAATGAAATGTATTCTATGGTTACCATTTGCATTTAATGTGTAAAATTGATTTTAGGCTTTCGTTAAGTCAACTTTTATACTCGAGGTTTAAAACTTTCCATTTCTGGCCGGGTGCAGTGGCTCACACCGGTAATCCCAGCACTTTGAGAGGCTGAGGCGGGCGGATCACGAGGTCAGAAGATTGAGACCATCCTGGCTAACATGGTGAAACCCCGTCTCTATTAAAAATACAAAAAAATTAGCAAGGCATGGTGGCACACACCTGTAATCCCACCTACCTGGGAGGCTGAGGCAGGAGAATCACTTGAACCTAGGAGGTGGAGGTTGCAGTGAGCCGAGATCGCGCCACTGCACTCAAGCCTGGGCGAAAGAGTGAGACTCCGTCTCAAAAAAAAAAAAAACAAAAAACCACTTTCCATTGCTAAATGTGTTTCCAGCTCAGGCAGAGATACTGGTTGCCATTTACTCAAATAAGCAGGCCTACTAATTATCTGCAAATGTCATGTCAAGTGACCCCCAAAATTAAACATCTTTATGTAAAAGGTTTTCTCTTCTAATGTTTATTTTGGTCTCAGAATCCATTATTTAATTAAACAGCTATATTGTTTATCCAGCTAATGCAACTCAGTATGTAAGAAGGCATTTACTTAAATCTAAGCATATACTTGAATTTTTATTACTATTAATTGTATTGGTGAATTCTTTTGTACCATACCATAACACCTTTCAAGTTTGCAAATACAGCTCTTTTGCTGTTAGCTGTAAGTGCCTCTGTACCCATTTCATAAAGACTCATCACCTGTTCTGAGACCTTGATTTTGCCACCCCATCACCCTTTTCCCTTCCAAAGGCAAGGGCAAATCAGAGCAATTGTAGCAACACAAAATCGCAAAAGAAAGACAAAGCTTCATGGTTCTCTTTAGACCATACTAACCGAGTAGTCTCAAATCTCTCTCATGAAATTTTAATGTTTTGAGTAATCTCCCATGGGTTTTAGATGGTAATAGTAAATGTCCTTTTACCTCTACCAGTTTGTTCCAGACTTCTTTGATATTACAAATGGGATACAGTGTATAAAGCTGGTCAAAGTCAAGAAAACTTTGGTAAATACTCCTGTAACTATAGATACTAGTGGTTCCTGCAGGGCACTGGTACTCCAGACCTGAAAGATTTATACACAATCAATCTGAAAGTCAGGGCAGAGCAAATGCACCATAAGCTGTGAAGCTACTTAGTGGTTCTTTGCTTAACTGAGCTGGTGAAAGTCAGGCATGTGTATATATGTTTAAGTGATAATCTGCATCAGCTAGTTTTCCTGCTTCAGATTTGCCAGTTCACCCTGACCATCTTGAAAATAAGTTGTCTCTGATCTCTGTCTGTATGTTACTTCTCTCCCCTTACCAATGGAGAACACATGTGGGCAAAGTTAGTAAAGCAATCACCACCTTTGGAGGGAAAAATTGGTCCTGTTCTATGGAGGGTGAATCAACTCTATTGCGGATAGTCAGTAACATTTTTACTCTCTAACTCATCATTTACACCCCAAATCTTTTTATATAAATGCTCTGAAGTTGTAGCTTCGAATAATAGTCTTTGATGTGTCTTAATCACCATCATTCCAGTCTAACTCGTCTCCCATCCAATCCCATCCTATGACATCCCTGATGAACATAATTTAGCCTGTATTTAAAAATATCTATTATGAAGAGTGTAAAGGTAAACTGAGGCTGGAGCCAAACCGGGAACGAAGACACAAGGCAAACGGCAGTGAGTATAGCCTTTATTAGGGCTTGCGGGCGAGGTTCCTCAGTCCAAAGGTGCAGGCCGAGGAAGTCGCGCTGAGGGAGGAGGGTAGGGTCTTCTTACAGCCTGAGAGGTAGGGAAGCTGGTTGTGCAAACAGGGCCTGGGGAGTCTTGAAACTACTAGGGCAGGAGTTGAGTAAGGGTCACGAGGAAGGGGTCTTTGGAAACTGTTAACCGAAACTGCTGTTTACAAACTTGTGGAATGCAGGTGAGCTGTAGGTCATGCGGGAGTGTGGTTGCCCAGCCGGAACTCTGACGCATGTAAGTCTGTGGGTGTGTACAAGGGTGAAGGGAGTCTTTAACAAAAGGCCTGCTATGCCGGGTAATGCCGCCATGTTGGGTCTAGATTCCTGCCTAACAAAGAGTGCATTGTCTTACCAGAAAGCCCATTCCACTTCCAATAGTTGTGAGAATTAGAAAGTTATTCCTCAGATTTCGTTTAAACCTGGCTCCCTATTCATTCCACGCACTGACATTAGTTCAGTTTACAGGAGCTACATAGAATAGTCTACCACATTTTCCTCATTACCATCTTTCCAATATGTGAAGTGAACTATAATTCTTGCCTTCCTCCTAAATGTAGTTTTCTCCAATTTCATTTGGTGTGCCTATTAAAATGCAGAATCCTGTTTCCTCACCTGCAGAGGTTTTTGTTAATTGGGTTTCTGGTAGGCCTAGGATTTCTGTCTGTTTTGCAGTGTGATCTGTTTACATCTGAGTAGTTTTATCAGCCTGTTTCTTGTCTGTGGAATTTTGGAGGTCCAATAGCTTTGTTTTGTCTCGTACTTTATCCTTTAAATTTCAAGGTGGCAGTATTTCCACTGGTAAAAAATTCTCCAGAATCTTGTAGTTTTCCTGTGTGTATTAGAGAAATTCACCGCAGAAGAAAAGAAGCTTGTTTATAGATTTTTCCTAGATAATCTTGTCTCTATCTTGGGGGTCCAAGAAGGCCGAGGGGATCCATGGGTCACCTGTTTCATCTCTTTAAAGAGTCTTTTGTGTGACTGAATACTGATTTTTATCTTTCTGAGGTAATAGCAAAAGTGTTACCAGCCACACTTTTGGCTTTTTCTCTACAACGCACTTTTCTGGCAATGAATCCTTAATTTCTGCTGAGAACATTTTAAGTCATCAAGTCCTGGCAACTTTTGGTTTCACTGTTCTTTCCCTAATTTTTATCTTTCCTTTTACATCTTACTATAAGCAGTGAGAAAACAAAATGTGCCTTCAACACTGCTTGAAAATCTCCTCAGCTATATGCCCAGTTTCATTGTTTACAAATTCTGCTTTCCACATAACTGCAGGACACAATTCTGCCAAGCTTTCTATCACTATATAACCAGTATCACCCTTCTTCCAGTTTCCAATAACATGTTTCTCATTTCCATCTGAGTCCTCAGTAGCAGCCATCTCTCTCTCTCTCTCTTTCATTCTTTCTCTCTCTCTCTCTCTCTTCCTTCCTTCCTTCTCTCTCTCTCCTTTCTTCCCTCCTCTCTCTCTCCCTTCCCTCCCTCCCCCCTTCCTTCCTTCCTTCCTTCCTTCCTTCCTTCCTTCCTTCCTTCCTTCCTTCCTTCCTTCCTTCCGGGTCTCACTTTTTCACCCAGGCTGGAGTGCAGTGGTGTGATCTCAGTCTACTGCAACCTCCACCTCCCAGGTTCAAGCAATTCTCCCACCTCAGTCTCCCAAGTATCTGGGACTACAGGTGCATACCACCACACCCTGCTAAGTTTTGTATTTTCAGTAGAGACAGGGTTTTGCCATGTTCCCAGGCTGGTCTCAAACTCCTGGGTTCAAGTGATCTGCCCGCCTAGGTTTCCTAAAGTGCTGGGATCACAGGTGTGAGCCACTGCGTCTGGTCTCCAGCAGCCACTTTCATGTCCGTATTTCTACCAATAGCCTGTTAATAATGACTTAGGTATTCTCCAGGGCAATATATATTTTCTCTACCTTGCTTCTCACTTCCTTCTGAAGAAGCAGAGTTGTTAACATCCATATTTCTACTAAAAGTCTGTTTAAGATAGCCTTCTTTCTATCTAAGCAGACTTTTAGTAGAAATATGGATTCTAACAACTCTACTTCCTCAGAAGGAAGTGAGAAGGTCTTGATCTGTTGCCCAGGCTGGAGTACAGTGGTGTGATCACAGCTCACTGCTGTTAACCAAAACTGTTAACCGAAACTGCTATTTACAAACTTGTGGAATGCAGGTGAGCTGCAGGTCATGCGGGAGTGTGGTTGCCCAGCCGGAACTCTGACGCATGTAAGTCTGCGGGTGTGTACAAGGGTGAAGGGAGTCTTTAACAAAAGGCCTGCTATGCCAGGTAACGGAATTAAAGACACACACACACTGCAGCCTTGACTTCTGAGTTTGAGCAATCCTCCCACCTCAGCCTCCCAAATAGCTAAGATTACAGGTCTGCCCCACCAAGCTTGGCTAATTTACAAATTTTTTTTTTTTTTGAGATGGAGTCTTACTCTGTTGCCCAGGCTGGAGTGCAGTGGCGTGATCTTGGCTCACTGCAACCTCCACCTCCTAGGTTCACACCATTCTCCTGCCTCAGCCTCCTGAGTAGCTGGGACTACAGGTGCCCGCCACCACACCCAGCTAATTTTGTTTTTGTATTCTTAGTAGAGACGGGGTTTCACCATGTTAGCCAGAATGGTCTCAATCTCTTGACCTCGTGATCTGCCTGCCTTGGCCTCCCAAAGTGCTGAGATTACAGGCATGAGCCACAGTGCCCAGCCAAAAAAATGTTTTTTAAATATAGGGTCTTGCTATGATGTCCAGGCTGGTCTTGAACTCCTGGCCTTAAGTGATGCTCCTGCCTTGGACTCCCAAGGTGTTGGGATTATAGGAGTGAGCCACCACGCCTGGACTTAACCAGTTTGCCCAGAGAATACCCACCAGTAGTGCCTGTAGCTGTAGCATTTACCCCAAGATAACTTTGCCAAGTAATATGCTTTTATTATTATTTTCGCATCCCTCCAGTATATTGACTTCAGAAACAAAAGACATCATTCTATTTATCACATTCTGTTTTTAGTAGTGGTATTTCCATTTACAAAATACAGTCATTCTCAATCCCTGAAAATGTCAAATCCTAGAAAATGTAGCAGTCCTATGGATGATGTTAACATTATTATTGAAGAGTTGTTTGCCAAGACCACCAGCTTGGTCGGGAGACCCTAATCCAGCGGTGCTAGAGGAATTAAAGACACACACACAGAAATATCGCATGTGGAGTGGGAAAGTGGGGGTCTCACAGCCTTCAGAGCTGAGAGCCTCGAACAGAGATTTACCCACATATTTATTGACCGTAAGCAGTGATAAGCGTTGTTTCTATAGATTACAAATTAACTAAAAGTATTTCTTATGGGAAATAAAGGGATGGGCTGGAGTAAAGGGATGGGTTGGGCTAGTTATCTGCAGCATGAATATGTCCTTAAGGTACAGATCACTCATGCTATTGTTTGTGGTTTAAGAACCACCTTTAAGCGGTTTTCGGTTCTGGGTGGGCCCAGTGTTCCTTGCCCTCATTCCAGTAACCCACAACCTTCAGCGTGGGCGTCATGGCCATCACAAACATGTCACAGTGCTGCAGAGATTTTGCTTATGGCCAGTTTTGGGGCCAATTTATGGCCAGATTTGGGGGCCTGTTCCCAATAGTTGTTGGCTGAAGATTCATTTGATTAACCTGATTTTTCCATAATAGATGATTCTGATGATTCAGACGATTCTGGTGTTAGCTCTGTTTAGAAATAACTCCAAGAACAGTTTTTATATTTTATTTTCACATTGAAAATCAGTCAGATTTGCTTCAGCCTGAAAGAATGTGTCTAATGTAAAATTAAATGAGTGCTGGCAGTGAGCTGCACTTTTTTGTCCTAAATGGAAAAAGGGTTAAGGCCTTTTGTCTGATTGTAAACCCTTAAAACAGCCATCTGACTGAAAGGCTTGACAGAACCAGGCCCACCATGATTATCTAGGATAATCTGTTTTATGTATAGTCAACTGATGATGGACTTTAATGACATCTAGCAACTCCTGGATTAGTGTTTGATTATGTAATTGGGGACTGCAGCCTAGCCGTATTGATACATCAAAAAGACTGTCACAGTGTCTTCTATCACTTATTCCATTAACCAAAGCTGCCACCTCACATAACACAATAATTTATTTTTACTTGGTCATTTAGGTTTTAAAGAGATTTATTCTCAGAGATATGTTAGGAACCAAAATAGAAATAGTTCTATATCATTGGCTCATTGAACACAATAGTTCTTGAATTAGCGGTTGCAACTTACAAGTTGTAAATTGTTTTTCCATGAGGAGTTAAAAGTTTCATGTACATTAAATATAAATTTCTTTTGGCTGGAAATGGCATTGGTACTATTTAAATAGTCTATGGCTGGCTGGGCACGGTGGCTCACACCTGTAATCTCAGCACTTTGGGAGGCTGAGGCGGGCAGATCAATTGACATCAGGAGTTTGAGACCAGTCTGGTCAACACTGTGAAACCCCGTCTCTACTAAAAATACAAAAATTACGTGGGTGTGGTGGTGGGTGCCTGTAATTCCAGCTACTCGGGAGGCTTTTATATGCAGTTTTGAATGCAAATTTTTAAGATTTGTGTGGTAATTAGACATATAATCATAGTTATAATTATTATTTTATTCTGAAAAACTTTCCAAAAGACATTTAGGGTATCATGGCCAAGTTGAGTCACTGTTTTATTTAAAACTACAGTCAGTTCAACCACAAGCTTTTCTGAGTGTCTACTGTAGTGGACATATGTGCTTTTGTTTGTCAACTTCCCCATCAGTAAAAGCACCCTAATTTTATTTTGGGGTTCCACTTTCTCCCTGCATTCAGTAATTTGGTTAGGTTGAAACTCACCCTCCTCGTATCCCCCATTTTCCAGGTCAGGTGACATACTTGTCATCATATTCCAACTCCAACAGGTGACATCATATTCCAACTCACTGGCCACACGACTGGTGCAGGGATGGACCTGTAACCCACGTAAGTCAATGAATGAGACCCGGTTTGGTAGTTATTAAGGTATAGGTTGATTGCTTAACATTGTAAGAATGGAAGAATAGGAAGGAAAGTCAAAGAGAAAAGAGTTAAGCTGGGAAGAAAAGGGAGTCATTCAAATCATTATTTGTAAAGAGTTTCAAGAAGTGGCGTATCAACATTCTCAACTTAATAGTTGAGCAATGTTTATGTTTTTGAAACTAACAACTAAAATACTTGGATAAAATATTTCTCCTGATTTAAGTAACTATAATTTCAGTCATGATTCATTGTTCCCAGCAGGATCTGTATCTGTGTAAATGAGCGTAGTATTGATTTTTTTTCCAAAGAGAGGATAGGTGATCTCATTAATTTCTTTTTCACATCAAAGCTTTCCTTTTAGGGTTTTTTTTTTTTTTTTTTTTTTCCCTTCTCTCAAGAGAATACTGAATGAGTCAGGGTGTTAATCTGCTTTGCTCTAGCAAATTCTATCTTCTTATTGTAGAGATGTTTTTCACTGTAGTAATAATTTGCTTAGCTGCTTCGTATTTACTCATGTATTCATTCACAGTTCTTTATCAGGCTTCAGGTATGTACCCAATATTGTGCCAGATGAAATGAGATTCAAAGGTGTCTCCTAGACTAGAATGTAAATTCTATTAGGACCCTCTCACTCGGAGCACAGTATTGGCACATTATCAAAAATCTATAGAGATGCATTTAGGATGCATTTCTGTAACAATGGTCACTTATGAGGTGCCATGCTTGCCCTTCAAGGATTGTCTGCAACTCAAACACAAGTTGAGGGTTTGAGCCTTTGTACTTGCTTCCTACAGGACAGTTATTCTTCAAAATGCCCAGGTTTAATGATATTTATTTTTATTTTTTATTATTTATTTACTTTTTTGAGACAGAGTCTCACTGTCACCAAGGCTGGAGTGCAGTGGTGCGATCTCGGTTCACTGCAACCTCTGCCTCCCGGATTCAACTGATTCTCCTGCCTCAACCCTCCAAGTAGTTGAGATTACAGGTGTGCACCACCACACCCAGCTAATTTTTGTATTTTTAATGGAGATGGGGTTTCACCGTGTTGGTCAGGGTGGTCGTGAACTCCTGGGCTCAAGTGGTCTGCTCGCTTCAGTCTCCCAAAGTGCTAGGATTACAGGCCTGAGCCACCATGCCCAGCGATACTTATTTTTAGTAGTTCACAATGAAATAATTAATTATATTTAGTGCCAATACCATTTCAAATAATGATGCTGGAATGACACCCAATACCACAGTAGACAATGATTTTGATCTCTATTAGTTTACTAGTTATAGTGGGTTAAATGGTGACTTCCCACCAAAAATGTCCACATTCTAATTCCTGTAACCTGTGAACATGACCTTATTTGGAAAAAGGGTCTTTGCAGATGTAACTAAGTTAAGAATCTTGAGATGAGACCATCCTGAATTATCTGGTTGGTCCCTAAATCCAATGACAAATGTCCTTTACAAGAGAAAGAAGAGAAGAAGGCACAGACACAGAGGAGAAGGCATGTGAAGATGAAGGCAGAGACTGGAGTTATGTGGTCACAAGCCAAGGAATTCCTGAAGCCACCAGAGGCAAGGAAGGATTTTCCCCTAGAGCCTTGGGAGCCAGTACAGACCTGCTGAAACCTTGATTTTGGAATTTTAGTCTCCAAAGCAATGAGAGAATACATCTCTGTCTGAGTGTCAAGTTTGTGGTAATTTGTTACAGCAGACCTAGGAAACTAATGTGTTAGTTAGTACTGATTATTTAATTAAAGACTCTTTTTGTATTGTTTTGTTTCCTAAATAATCTGGAGAAACCTACCTCAATTCTTGTCTCCATCCAATAGAGACATCTGTCTGTTTGTTGAGGTTTGGGGGAAATCCAAGGGTTAGTGTTTCTGCGTTATTTTTTGCCTACCACAGATAGTGGTGAAAGCCCATTTAGTACACAAATATGACATTTCTGAATAAAGTGACTTCAACAACTGGTCTGGAGATCCAAGTGCTATTCAAAAAAGTGACATTGGTCCTGAGATGCGATTCCTATGAAGGAGAAGTTCCATTTGCGAAGTTACAGCAAGGTTCCTTCCATAACGCACAGCAGCTGGGCCAGGGAGCCGGGAGACCTTGCTTCCGGCCTACCCATCTGTGGGCTACTTCCCGTAACTCACTTTCCCTGTGTGCCTTGAATGCTTCCTCCTATGAGGCCATTAGTCAAATTAAGTAGAGGCCTTTAAAAATTAGCCATCCATCCAATCTAGAGAATGTCCACTACGTTTCATTCTTTCTCCCTTACCCTGTTGGTTTCCTTCATATCACCCAGTCCTGATAATAATTGTATGAATACGTGCTTATGTGTCTGTCCTTCCACCCCTAACTCTAAGTTCAAGGAACACTATAACTGCACCTAGCATATTGTCTGGCACATAGTACCTCCTCAATAAAGATGTATTTAATACATAGACAAATAATGAATGAACATTTTGAGTGGAGGGCCGGAAAATGTTTATTTACTTTGGAGTTGGAATCAGACTGTCCAAGGATACTTTCAAAAATAAATTGCTACGTCAAACATTTAATTTCAGGATTGAAAGAGTGGTGGACATATAGCTCAATCCCCTCCAAACACCCCCACCCACCAGATGCGCAAATGCCCTCTTCAGCCTTCCTCACAAGCATGACAAAGATGCTGGTGGAAGCATCCCTGGTATCAGGAAACTCATGACCTCACTTGTTTTGATCTTTTCCATTGAGCTTTCTTTTCCCACTCCTCCCACTTATTGCAACCTTAATTGTAGCATTTTACACACCTGCTGCTGCAGAGTTCTGGAAGTCTGGGGTTGGGAGGATCAGGGGAAACCCACTGCCTATCTCAAGCCTGCAGCCACCGACGCAGGGGTGACTGCCAGGGAACTCGCGGCGCCGCGTGCTTGCTAGGTTCGCCTGGGCTCTCGGCCTCTCTGCGGGCAGGGGGTCCTCCCTCCCCAGCGCCGGGTCTCTCCTCCCGCGGGCCCGCGGCCACCCGCAGCGGCATTCCCCGCCGTTGCCCCCGGCCACCTGCGCGGCCTCCCTGACAGCTCGAGTCGGCTCCTCCTGCTCAGGGGCGGCTGTGGAGGGCGCGGGGCTCGCGCGGGCGGCCACCCGACTCTTCCCTCCCTTCTCCCCACCCCAGCCCGCTCCTGCTCAGCCCCACCTCCCCACGCACTCGGCTGCCCTCCTCTCTCCTGAGACTTGTCCCGCACCTTGGGCGAGGAGTTCGGAGCGGCCCCATCGCAGAGCCCACAGCCGGCCGAGCCCGCGCGACGCAGGTGCCCGAGCCCCGGCGCCGCCGCCATCTCTGCCTTCGGTCGAGTTGGACCCCCGGATCCGGATCGAGGTGGGACCCGCTTCCCTCTCCGGCACCTTCTATTGCCACCTTTTCCCGCTCCGGGTAGCTCGAGAATGGGGCTTTGGGACGCGCGTGGCAGACGCGGAGCTCCGCGGGCCGCTTAGGGACCAGGAGTCCGGGGCAGCTTAGCGGGACCACCAGAGGGGTCAGCGTCCGGTGGGCGGCGGGGGTGGGGTGGGTGCGGCGCCGGGCGACTCTCGGTTCCCGCGGGGCGAGGAAGATCTGGGCGCAAGGCTGAGAGCAGCCGGCCGCGCCTGGCGCGAACCTGCCCAGGACCACCGAGAGAGCATGCCACCCCGCCAACTTCTTTTCCAGGGTTCCTGCCTACTTTGGAAACTGAAGGGACTGCCACCTAAAACAGTAAGCCCTGGGGCCCTGAAGAGGATTTACTGGTTCGAATGACAAGGGAAAAAATAATTGTGCTGTAGGGATGGTTTAGACCTAAGCTTTTGTTTCCCACCTCCCCCCATTCCCTGCAAGCAAATTAAACAACAGCAGCAGCAGCATCAGCAGCAAAACCCCAAATCCAATCCCAACCAAACCACTTACTGAAAGGGATTTGTAGTGGTGAGAAAGAGACCCAACTAAGGAATCATTTGGAAACCCCAGGTGCGGTGCCATTTAAAAACTGGCTATTTCTGGTGTTATTTCTAGGACTTGTGTTTGCAGACAGATTAGAATTCTGGGCTCTTGTCAGCCTAATGGAGTTCTTTATACTGAAGGGTTGCCTCGGGTGTCCTCTGTTAACATTTATTTCTGTAAGTATTAAAGTATATTGAAACAAATACCCTTTCACGGCTCTGGACTTGGAATCCGAAAATCTGAGTTTTGGTATGATTTCCTGTTTATTATTTATGACACTGTGGTTAGTTTAACCTCAGTGGGCCTCAGTTTCCTCATTTTTTCAAGTTAGAGGGTTGGATTAAGATAATTTCTGAGGGCCTTTTGAGAATATCTAAGGTATGCCCTAGAATAAAAAAGTAAAATTCCTTAACTCTTTAATTTGTTACAAACATTGCTAGTTTCATAATTTCATGAAATAAAAACAATCTGTGTTAATCTTGGCATTAGTTTATATGCATTTATGACTTAGGCTTTTAGGATTTTCCAACCAAAAGGTGCAGAGAAAAACATTTATAAAGAGCTCAGAAACATATAGATTTATATGAATATTTACACCTCTCATATTACCTTAAGTAATCTTTAAGCTAGTATTTGCAACACTGCAACAAAAGTACATGGCTTTAGCATAGCACGTTTTCTCTTTAAGTATTGTCCATCTGGAGGAAATAAAAATGTATTTGGAGGAAAACAAACATTGCCCCTTTCCTATCAATTACTGTTCTTGAACAGTGTTCGCTACTTTTTAGCATAAAGTTGTGGGCAGAATGTTAAAAAATTGGTTTCAGGTCACTTCTGAGCCGCTCTGAAATTAAGCACAATAGCAGAGATGCCAATTTTAGTAATGCAGTTAGTTGCCTTGGAATGAATCCCAGAAAATAGCAGAGATTAACTAAACAGATAAACCAGAAATTAGGAATGGACACACACACACACAAGTTGTACAGTGAGTATGTACTGTGAAGGGTTGGTGTACTTTGTACTTTTCTTTTTGATTAAAAGAAAATGTCGGGTTGTTTTAACAGACAGAGAATGTTAGAGTAGCTTTTGTTGCTACTTCTAATGTTTTATCAGCAATGTGTTCAAGATTATTTGAAACTTAGTTATCACTAGTAAGGACAGGTTTAAGAATATTTCTGCCTCTTTTCGGTGGCTTGGATTCAAAATAACAAAACAATCTTTTCTCACCCACATGTGCCTTGTGTGCAATTTGGGAGAGTGAAATGGATTTGAAGTACTCTTTTATGAGCACATTTTGACTTATTTTCAGTGCCTTTTTGCCTTTGGGCTGGAAATGTCATAAGTTATTCAGGCATTTATCTTCCCTCATATTCTCTGGCGAAGTAGGGATAGTCATCTCCGTTGAAACAGATGCTCAGAGATTTAAGTAAATTGCTTGTCGAGTGAACAGGGAATCGTAGAACTCAAATATACCCTGGTTGCTAGTCATTTGGAAAACAACTGAAACTGGATGGATCCAACAGCTCACGGCCCACAGCTTGGGAGTGTCGTCAGGGTTGGCAGAGGCTCTGTTCCTCCTTTGTAATGTGGGGACTTACTCTCTCACCAATTTACTGAGAAAAAAGTAATCTCTTCACACTTAGATCACTACTATAGGACCAAATGGTGTGTATTTGTGAAGTGCAATATTTCCGGGAGGTCTTGGAAATAAATACTAAAAGTATCCAGGAAAAAAAAAAAAAAAAAAAAAGAACTCTGTCGGCAGATATTGTACTGCATTTTTCATGCTGAAAGCCAAACACACCCACTTAAAGAGTATGTCCTGTGGATTAAAAATGAATAAAAAGGCTTATAGTCTGCTCTAATTCTTAATACTTTATGTGATTTACAAATTCCAGTTTTAATTAAATTAGAAAGTTGCAAATGTTCACCTACTGACCAGACTCAGTACATACAACCTTTTGGAGTTGCTATTCACATACGATCTGCTTATAGTTTGGAATATTCCTTCTCAAACATGTTTTTTGTTTTTTGGTAGAGATGGGGTCTTGCTGTGTTGCCCAGGCTGATTTAATACTTTCTGTGACTTAATAGTGATATTACCTGTTATCTTCACACATAATCTTATTAATATTTAAAACATTTTAAACTACAAATCTTACATAACTATAAATAAAATATTTAAAAAAGTGAACTGTAATGAATATAGGGAGAAACATATAAAATAAATTTAATGGTTGACAGATAATGTGATAAATCATTATAACAGGTAATTTTTTTAATTTTTATTTTTATTTTTTATTTTTTGAGATGGAGTTTCACTCTTGTTGCCCAGGCTGGAGTGCCATGGCGCCATCTCAGCTCACCACAACCTCTGCCTCCTGGGTTCAAGCAATTCTCCTGCCTCAGTCTTCTGAGTAGCTGAGATTACAGGCATGCACCACCACGCCCTGGCTAATTTTATATTTTTAATAGAGACTCGGTTTCTCCATGTTGGTCAGGCTGGTCTCAAACTCCCAACCTCAGGTGATTCACCTGCCTCGGCCTCCCAA